TTTTTTTAGAGCTCAATTTTCTTTTAAAAATTTTAGTGTACAAATTTGTACGCTAAAATATACGGTTTAAGGGATAATGTTGTTTTTCAAGATCCGCAGCTTCCTTATGTTTATTAAACTCGACTTGAACTTTATTATATTCGTCAATATCTTTTTTTGCAGCTAATAAGTTGGCTTTAAATAAAGTGCAAATTTCACAAAGATCGCTTGCAGGTGGTTGAAATCGAAGATTTGGAACCATTTCACGCCATAATCTTTTAAAAGTAGAATAAGAAATTATTTTTTCAGATTGATCGTGTATAAGATAAAAAACTTTTTTATATTCAGTATAAACTGAAGTATAAGATTGACTAGTTGGAAGGTAAATAAAAACGCCAGAATCGTCGTGATGCCGTAATGGAGAAGAGAGTCCATGAATTATTCCGTATTGTATTAAAAATTGTTTAACTGTGGATATTATATTAAAATCTAAAAAAACTCTTGATTCTGTTTTAGATGCATGACCGGTATTACCATGAACGTGTTCGGTTAATCCATTTATTTGTAAATGATTTTGTAAGTAGAAAGTAAGTAATCGTTGATTCTACATAATTTTAAATATGCTGACTTACAAAGAAGTAAAGAATTATTATAATTATATCTATATGTATGTTTTTGTGTTTTATTTATAGATTTTTCATTACTAATTTAAAATGACATTAACTGTGATTTTATAAAAAGGTCAAGTTCGCTTTTTTCTAAAGCTTTTAATTCAAAATGTCTTTCAAAAAAATGTTTAAACCTAACTTTTTCAAAACAAGTTCTAAGGTCTTTTTGTTTTGGAGTTCGATAGCAAGTACAATTATCAGGATTTTCAAAAATAATTTTAAATCGTAAATAGTATCAAGGACTAGCTCATTTTCTTCATAATTGTCTAATTCTAATTCAACCAAATTGTAAACAGGCCTTAAAGTGTTTACAGTTGATTGTTGAGACATTTTTTTTTTTTAATAAAAAAATAGATATGGTACAATAAATACCTTTATAAAAATATTAAGCAGAGGCGATTTTTAAATGCAGATTATAAATGGTGTCTGCATTTTCGACTAAGTAAATGTGAATATAGCATGCAAGATGAATAAATAAGAGCTTGAATTAATAAAAATACATAGTATGTGCATATACATGTATAATAACAATACTACCTGCATTATTATTATTAGGAGGGCAGATAACGGATAGATAAAGTTTTTCAAGATTTAAGGTACTAACTGGCATTTTCTTTTCGCATTTATAACAACGTTCTATATAGCACAGCAAGTATCATACATGTATATACTTGGTTCTATATCTACTACCATCAAGCACTATATGAATGCCTAACATTACAATTTTTATGCTAGTTAACCTGCAAATCAGATGTATGTATGCATTAAAATATGAAGTTTTTGGTGATAAGGTTACAAGTAATTGTTTGTGAAAACCTGTAACTTATGACAATAAACCATTAGCGGTTACATACAGATTTTTATTCTCATATACTCAAATATAAAGCTTTAAAACAAACATGCATGTGACTTTAATGTATTATCTTACATTTCGAATTACAAATTGATCCAACTAAACTGGTCATGATTGTCTTTTGTGTTGCTATAATTTTTCCGCATACATAGAATACTCGTAGAATTCTAGCTTATTTTTCACAGAATCAATTTGTAAGAATCATCCCAAAATTACTTAATAACATCTTCACGATCTACTTCAAATGCTAAGTTAACGTGCATATTAGTTAATGCTAAGAGAATGAACCCAATCGGTGAAAAAAATTCGATGTTACATTTGTGTTCAGCATTTTTTTTTGCAGAAAAAATTTACAAATATGCACATAATTTTTTCAGTAAGTCAAACAGAATGTGCACTTGCGCACTAAATTTAGTCTGAATTTTTTTCACTGGGTCTGATTTTTAAACAGATAACAATAATTAATTCTATAATCATGCGGTTAAATATCTAAAAGTAAATAGTTTCGATATAGATTTTAACCCTTTTTAACAGTCATTCGGGTTAATATACATGTAGATGATAACACGTGATAGTAGTGTTTTTTATGATTGAATGACAATTAAATTTGTGTAATGAAGTCTCGTAGGGTTATTTTCAAGGCACAATCTTTGGTAGTACAAAACTGATCAATAATAAGTTATAGCAAAATATTTATCTGTCATGTCGATCATTTTGGTTCTATTTTTAGATCATCGAAAAATTTTCCCGCCAAATTTAGTAAACCTCAATTACCCGCTTTAATATTAAGTTAGCAGGGCATAAAATTTATACCAAATAAACTTTATAACTCCTAGATTAATATTTAACAAAAATCTAATTTTTGGTCTGGGGACCCCGGAACCCCATTTTCAAGGTACAGACCCCATATACTATATATATATATATATATAACATCATATGATTTATTATTCATTATACAACATATAATTTATATAATGATCGTCAAAACAGTATATAATAATAACCCGAGGTCACATAGAGGTGTGGCGACTTAGTGTAGTGGTTTAGTCGTCACCCTTTCCAAGTGGCAGGTCTAGAGTTCAAATCCCACGAACGACGAATTTTGAAAAAATAGCCTGTGTTATGGTTTACGATTGTCGATTATCAGTTGGATCTAGAAATCTATAATCTCGGTCATACCATCTAGTTATGGGAGCTTTGGCACAATAAATCTGAGGAACCAGAATAACTAAAAACCCATTTGGCAAGTCTCGAGTTTGGAGGTAGTAGTGATCTATGATGGTACTACAGAAGGGCTGAATTCGAACTGGGGCCCGAGATTAGAGAACTGAGCGACCAGGTCCTAATGGCGGAGGACACACCAGCCGAACCGCTGGGTTGTTGCACCAGAGGAAAAGGACATACGCTCTGAAAGTATGGACCAAGGGGAGGGCGTCCTTCAGGCACCTAAAGCCTGGGC